AGCGTGTGTGGGGGAGGAAGAGGGAGTTCTTTCGGAAGAGGAGGAAAAAGCGCAGGTGCCCTGGTGGCTATTCCGTCCATAGCAATCACAGCTTACGTGCAAGAGAGCGTCCATTCAGTCTGGATGCTCTCTTTAGAAAAAGCAGATCGCTTTTTCGATGCACTTTTGCAGCGTGGGCATTCTCTTTCGGAAAAAGTATTTTTGGAAGATCTCGTCCGAAAAAAGCTTCTTCCGAAAGAAGCCTGCAGTCTAGACATAGCCCTAGAGGGATTTGGGATGGGGCACGTTGACTGAACCGGGTCGGGGAAGCTGGAATTGCTGTTGCTTATCCAGTCTGGCTCAGCTGGTGTACAGAAGGCATAAACTTTCTAGGCGGCAGTCGGTTGGGGCCTGGACCTACAGCAGTAGCCTTGCTCTGCCCTGACGTTGAGTTGTATTGTGGTAATGCCTACAGGCTGTCAGGATCGGGTCTGTTATACCATCATAGTCCATGGCAAATAGCCTGCTAAGGACTGTTGCCCCAGCCAAGGTCTGCTGTTGTAGCAGATGTCATGCGGGGATGTTCCCAGATCTGGCTTGATCCCTTGTACTTGATGCCGTACCGACCTTTTGGAAGACTTTGTCCCGACCCCAAAGAGCTTCCTTTAAACCAGGGTTTCCCAAACTATGGGCCTGATACCGGGCCACGGGAAAAAAATACCAGGCCTCAGCGTGGCTGCCAGGAGGGGAGGGGGGGAGGGCCGTCCGGAGGAGATCAGGGCTGGGGCAGCAGAAGCAGGGTTGGAGGCAGCAGGGCCGTCCGGAGGAGATCAGGGCTGGGGCAGCAGAAGCAGGGTTGGAGGCAGCAGGGCTGTCCCGTGGAGATCCGGGCGGGTGGCCGGAGGAGATCAGGGCGGGCGGGCGAAGGAAGCAGGGTTGGATGGGGGGCTGGAGGGGGGGAGACTGTGAGGAGGAGAATGGGAGAATCAGCTGCCGGAAGCAGGGCTGGACGGGGGCAGGGCTGGCCAGGGGAGATTGGGAGGAGAAGCGGGGGGAGGGGAAGGAGGGAGCGAGGAGGGGTGGGAGGGAGCAAATCAGCTGGCGGGAAGCAGGACTGACCCAGGCACATGCAGACCCGGGCACACGAGTGAGTCCGGCCCCGGGGATTCCATTTTGCCCCACCCCCATACCCTCTCTTGAGTACTTGCGAAGTGTCTGGCCGGTAGACAACACTCATGCAGCGTGAGCACATCTACCAGCCAGGCAGTTCGCAGCTACGGACTAATACACCTAATAATAATAAAACTTACCTAATTAGAAAATACCAGACATTTTATATGTTCGGTATTTTCTCAATTTGTTTCCCAGACAGAACCCTCAAATACTGGTGTGTCCGGTACAAAACCAGACACCTGGCAACCCTACCCCTCCTTGCACCCTCCCTCCTAGCCAGATACCAATCTGCTCCTGCTGCCTGGTCCTGGTGAAACACTGAAAATTTATTCAGGCAGAGCCCTGGTCCTGGTGAAACACTGAAAATGTATTCATTTTTAATTCTTTTTTTATATGCATTTATATTTTTGGGCTGCAAAAAACAGTACCAAAAAAACCAGGTTCCAACTAAAGTAAAAAGTTTGGGAAACTTTGGTCTAGCCAGCTTTCTATCCATCTTACAGTCCATGTATCCAATCCATATTCCCTTAACTCGCTGGCAAGAATATGGTGGGTGACCGTATCAAGAGCTTTGCTAAAGCTGGCACTGGGGGCTTTGGGAGGACCAGAAACAACGTATTTGAATAGTCATCATTTGCTTAATGAATATGCAAATATGCAAATGAATGTTACCGGTCCTCCGAAAGCTAATGAATGGATTTACTGGTCCCCGTGTCAAAAAGTTTGGGAACCCCTGCTCTAAACTAATAGACACAAGCTTGTGTAAAGGGGAGAAAATATAATGCAAGTGGGGAACGCCCCGTTGGATGCAGTTCTTGGTGGGGGTTAGCATTTTCATAACTCCATGGGGCCTCGAGGGCTGCCAGCTCAGGTCCCCGCTTGTGTTTGGTGCTGCATGGAGAGGGTGATACCGTCTGCCCCCAAAAGCTGCTTCACTCCCAACCTACGCATTCCCCGTGCTAGCCCGGATTGGCAAGTTCGGCTACTTCTCTCCGTCCTGTCCTCGATCCTCCTCCCTCTGTATGCTGCCCTCAGTATCGCTCAGGAAGGAAAGGGTGGATTCAGTCTTTCTGATGCCCTGCGTCTGCTGGGAAAGCAGTGCCCAGTACCTGCTGCTGCCCCCTAAGGCGGGAAAAGAAGCACGCAAGGATGTGGTCTTTGTAGACTTCAGTGTGGATTTGTACCTCCTATGGGCTCGCTGGTGCCAGGTGCCGAGAGCTCTTGACATTGGTATGAATTGAGTGCACAGCTTCTCTCCACGGGTGTGAAGCACCGCACGGAAATGGGCCCAAACATTTTTAAGGTACCCGTCAGGTTGATGTCTACACTTCCCTGCATTGCTCCAGCCTTCCTGCTCTTTGGTTCCGTAATAGCGGAGGAGGTTCTGAACCCTAGAATCTAGAATACTAGGACTAGAAGGGACCATGAGAGGTCAAATCCAGTCCCCTGCCCTCATGGGAGGACCAAGCACCGTTTGGATCATCCCTGACAGGTGTCTGACCAACCTGCTCTTAAATATCTCCAGTGATGGAGATGCAGGTGTCTGATCAACCTGCTCTTAAATATCTCCAGTGATGGAGATGCCACAACCCCCCTAGGCAATTTATTCCGGTGTTTAACCACCTGACAGGTAGGAAGCTTTTCCTAATAACCAACCTAAACCTCCCTTGCTGCAATTTAAGCCCCTTGCTTCTTGTCTTGAATCTTCTAGCCTGACAACCCAAGTGTTTCATTAACTCTTTGCTTTCTTTTTTTTCCCTCTTTGCAGGTTCTGTGGCGAGAGATGGAGACTTCTGGGCACGTGGACCAGGTATGCGAAGGGGAAAACCAACTTGCTGCTGGAGCATCTCTGTAAAAGAGGTTTCGTTCCACCTTTTGGGAAGTGGAATCCTAGGAAAGCACAAGAGCAACCCTTCACCTGCAAGACCTGAAGTAGAGGTGTTGGGTGAAAGGAGTTCAGCCTGGTTTCTACAGGAGTCTAGATGGTTTTGGAGGTTATGATGGGATCTTAAAAGGAGCCTCCCTCCACCTGGAAACTACCTCACAGTGCAGTTACTGTGGTTCACTTTCTATGCTTTGCCCCATTTTTTTTTCTGTTTTACTCCGCTTCCTCCTGGTTCTGACCGTACCTTGGGGAATCCCATACAGAGATGGGACTTGACCTCCTTCAAGATGCACTATTCTGGGCCTTTAGACCTGGAAATTCTTCTCTTGGCCAGGAGGCTTTCAGGCCGGCTATGGTGGGGTGAATGGCTAAATGCTTTCAAGTCAACCAGGGGCTTGATTTCCATGCTCTTTGGAAAGAGCCCCACAGTTTGCTTATTTTCCATGGAAACAGCTACAGATTTTTTTTTTCTCCTTTCTCCCTTCTGACTTCTTTGGATCTTGGTCCTCTACGTACGGCTGGTTTATGACCCAGTGTAGATGCAGCCCCTTGCCACAAAAATAGCAAAGGTGAAAACCTCTGCTGACGTGCAACTTGCTGAATGAAGGGAGCAAGCTGTGTGCACCTGCATGGTGATGAGAACATGTTGGGATGTTTGCTGGGATAGTCTCTTGAGATGCAGGTCCTCTCGTGGTGTAGAGAAAAGACGTGTTGTGTGGATACCTCAGTTCAGTGCAAGTCCACGGAGACACTTAATTGCAGCTATCTTTAAACCAGAATGGGCGGGGGACCAGATGAAGGAACACAGGAGACCGGTAACTCCAGGGAGCAAGCATCAAGGCACCAGTAACAAACTGGGAAAATGTCACCTTCAGCATCTATTAAATGTCTCCTTTAAAAAAAAAAATCAATTGCCTCTCTTGCTACTCAGTCCCTCGTGCCTTAGCTCTGAGACCTCAGCACTGGGGTGTCAGGCAGCAGGAGAATGCGAGAGTCGGATACAAAGGAAGCCAGGGTGCTGGCCACCATCTCGGCACCTGAATGTGCCAGAGTGGAAATTGGATGTCCTGTCCTACTCCCACCTGAACACCCGTCTGAAACGTCACCGCCTGATGGTGTGAGCACCAATGTACAACCGGCTTACGTGGCAATTGTCCCAATAACGTGTGTGGTTTTCAGCTCCCAAATGTGTGTTGTCTCCCTCCTACCCGATATTCATGCAAGGCACCAGAAGTGCTCTGTGGAATTACACAGCAACAGGAGCACTAACTAATACGGAGACTGAAAATCTTTTTCAAAATGGAGGCGATGTGACTTCAGTTCTCTGTGGGAACTGTTTTCTCACAGAAGCCAAGTTAGAATAAAGACTGTATGTTTAATATCTTTGTATTCCGTGTGCCATGATGCTTCTTTTTACCAAGGGTCTAGATTTGAGATTGGCAGCATTTTGTGGTTAAAGTTTGCATAGTTTTCTGTATGCTGTGGCTTCCTGCCTCTGCTTTGTGTTTTCAGTTCAGATTTGAAGAAACTCACTGGATTTCATGTCGTTTTTTTACTGCAAGCGGCCCTTGGCCCCAGAATTGCTGAAAAGGGGTTTTGACCTAGTCTGTACCCTTGGGCTGAAATTTGAGTGTTGATGAAACCCCGAATCAAAAGATGGTTGAATGGCTTGTGGTTTTGCAGTGATGGTTCTGTGTGGCTCATGGTGAAAAATGAAGGGAGCAAGCTTGTAACTGGCTCCTTTTTAATTAGCCCAGTTTAACTGGTGGGCATATAGGTACGTGAAATGGCCCCTCTATATGCCCAGATGCAGAACTGGATTCTGAGTGGTGCAGAATAGATGTGATCAAAAGGATATTCTCTTCCTTCTGTTCGCCAATGATCCAAAGGTAGATCAAATGTTGGTCTCTCTCATGAAGTAGATTTCCTTGGTGGATGTGGTTACAGCCACACTGGTGTAAGTAAAGGAGAATTTAACTGTGTGCAAACTGTCTCCTAAAACTGTTTCCATCCCGTTGTGTAGTGCTGCATTAAAGCAATAATGTACTTCCACGGTGCACAGAGGATCCAAAGAGTAAGTGCAGAGTTAAAACGGCTTGAATGCAAGAATAGCCCGTTGGTCTGTTCAGCTGCTGGAGTGCTTTTGAAGAGGTCTGCCAGTATTTCTCCTCCTGGATGCATGAAGAGTTGAGCGGAGCCCAGTGGATTGGTGTTCTGCAGCAGCTGTGACCAGCAGGAACAGTCCCCAGGCAAATTAAAGGGTTCCCCTCTGTGAGTCAAACCTGGATTTCCATGTCTCAGAGGGGTTTTCTGTGTTAGTCTGTAACTTTAAAAATGAGTGGTCCCGGGGCACCGTAGAAACTAACAAAAATATAGAGTAAATTTAAAAAAACAACTAATAGTCTGGTAGCACTTGTAGACTAACAAAACATGTAGATGGTAGGGGTGGCAGCTAACAGGTGGTTAGATAATGCTACATCTCTTACTTACACCTCCTGTTGGCTGCTTTTTTTGCTACCGTTCCACCTGCCGGCCTCCACAATGGCATCTATACTCGTCTAATGGCGTGATATTCACCACCACTTAAAATCACTTCTGAACGTGAGCTGTGGGGGCCAAAATCTGCTTTGTTACACCTGTGAATCCCGGTGACTTTCTTTTTAATGAGGCTACAGAGACCTAACTGTTTATTTACATTCCCATTGAGGAGGTAGAATCCCGTCTAACCAGTTAAATGTTATGTTTGACCGATTAAATTGGGTAGGCTGGAGTGGTCCCGCCCCTTCTCCTCGGTTAACCATAATCGGTAAGTCTCTCCTGGGAAGAGTGAGGAAACCAGTTAATCCTTCACATCACTAATTACCATAGTAAGGAGGAGCCCAGCCCCCATTGGACTAGGGACCGTACGAACACTGAACAAAGAGAGACTGCCTGCCCAAAAGGCTTATGATCGAAGGCTTTGTCTACAGTCCACAACTGTTAGTGACACGGCTGTGTCGACACAGCCATCTCACTAAAAGTCTGGCACTGTGAGCTCCGCTTGCTGGTACTTTGCCAACAAAATACTTCCGTCCCCTAGGTGCGGGGTTCGCGTTCTCGACAGGAGAGTGCGTCTGCTGCCAACCAACCATTTACACGGCCACTTGCCGGGGCCAAACTTTTGTCTAAACTTTTCGGCGGGGATGGGGCTTTTTTAAAGCACCCATGGGTGATGTTCAATTGGCAGTGGAGACCAAGCCGAAGCACAAGACGAGAGACAACAGACAGGGGAGCTGAAGGAGACGATACCAGCCAGGATAGAAGGTGGTGTTGGAACACATCCCCAGCCGAAACTTGGTTGAATTGTGCTTTGTGTAGGCTTGGCAAAGGGAACTCACACAACTGAGCTGCAGTGCCCAAAAAAGACCCCACATGTCTCCACTGATGGCCTTGTCCTTTTCCTTAATGCCCCTTGACACTACTACCTGTGTGCCATGCACTCACCCACCGCCTCTTTAACTGTCCCATCTCTCTTCCGGCAACTCAACCCAGTTTTGTCCTTTGTAGCTGCTGTGTTTTGAACCGACAAATGTTGGTTTGGATCTCTGCCAGGGAAGACGTGAGTTCAGAAGGTAGTTCAAATCGAGGGCGTGCATGGTGGTGAGTGTTTATTCTCCGATCCTTTTCTCTCCTTACGCCACCCGTCCGTGCATTGCTGTAGGAACGCTGGCGAACCCAGGCTCGATCAGAGACAAAGGGATGGAAAACAGCCAGAGTGGCTGAGGTTTACCTCTCTGCAGTTGGGTGGTGTCTGGGAAATAAGTTGCACGGTTTTAGTCCTCTGCCTTGAGGACAGGCCTCTGCATGTCCAAAAGAAGCTACCCTCGCAGCTGGCACGAACTCATCCTACTGCTAGCAGGGAGGCACGGGGACTAAAGGAACTTCTAGGAGCAGAAAAATCAGAGGGGTTGCCGTGTTAGTCTGTAACTTTAAAAATGGCGAGACGTCCTATGGCACCTTAGGGTGTGTCTAGACTACAGAGTTTTGTCAACAAACACGGACTTTTGTCGACAAAACTATACCTGAGTCCACACTGCCTTTGAGTTATGTCGACATAACGTCGACAAAACTCAGCAGTTTTGTCGATGTATGTAAACCTCATTCTACGAGGAATAACGCCTTTTGTTGACAGAGTTCTGTCGATAGAAGGCATTATTGCATCTACACTGTCCTTTGCGTCCACACTGTTATGTCGACAAAGCGGCTTGCTTTGTCAACAGAACTGGATGTAGTCTAGACGCTCTTTGTCGACAGAAGCTTTGTCGACAGTATCTGTCGAGAAAACTTCTGTCGACAAAACCCTGTAGACTAGACGTACCCTTAGAGACTAACATATATATGCTTTTGTGGGCAAAACCCACTTCCTCAGAAAGGGATAACACAAACCCAGAATTTATATCTGAAATTATAAGAGAAAGTCCGGGTAAAACTCCTTGTTTTAAAATATATAGGATCATGAACTTTCATGAGTAAAACCCACTTCATCAGATGAATTGGTGTAGAAATAGAAAAAACTAAGATATATATAAAACAACAGAAGTACCTGTCAGTTGTAAGACCTGTGTTAATGAGGCTAATTAAGTGTTCAGTTAAGCAGCAGAGGCTGCCTCTAGAGCGGAGGTGAGGGGAGCTTGTATTGCTTGTCTTGAATTGTCACTTCAGTATGTCTTACCCCCAGTGTGGTTCCAATGCTGCTCTTGTATTAACACAATTCTTTTAAAAATGATTGAATGACATTGACAGCTGGGGGAGACGCATGTAGGTATATCGGGACCGGTTCTTTTCATCCGTGTTCTGCACCAAGCCCTGCTATTCTGCTACTAGATCTCAACCAGCATTCCCTCTCATTTCTTCCATCCACGTGCAGAATAAATTTTGTTCTGTTCAGATGTGCACCCCCGGTAGAAATTCATGCTGCTTGCTGTGGGTGCTCTGCTGCTCAGCTAGGCAGTCTTTGAATATCTCCTGGATGGCCGCCGAATCGCTCCACTTACCCTGAATTTTACTTCAGTGTTACCTGTATGTCTTCATGCACCATCATCCTAATTTGTCAATCACTCCACTTACCCTGAATTTTACTCCAGTGTTACCAGTATGTCTTCATGCACCATCATCCTAATTTGTTCCCAGTTACAGGCTAAAACAGTGCTTAAACAAGTGTGGCTTATTCCTAGAAGAAAAGGGAAACAAGCCAGCACCTCCCTACTGCAATAACTGTGTCCATCTAGACAGTGCTGATAAAACTATTTTAGTGTAAAAAAAAAAATCACCTCTGCTTATTGGAAATAGGGGGATGCCCTCTGTTATACTTAGACATGTGGTGAGTTATGTCCAGGATTTAGATGGGGCTTTGGGGACATTTTTAAAGAGATCCAGCTTATGACGATAGGCATAAGCACAGTCAACCTGTGGAACTCCTCGCCAGAGGATGTTGTGAAGGCCAGGACTTGAACAGGGTTCAAAAAAGAGCTAGATAGCCACAGATGGACTTATCGTCTATGAATCTATTAGCCAGGATGGGTAGGAATGGTGTCCTTAGCCTCTGTCTGTCAGAGGCTGGGAATGGGTGAGGGGAAGGAATCACTTGATGATTTCCTGTTCTTTCCCCTCCCTCTGGGGCGTCTGGCATTGGCCACTGTCAGAGGACAGGATACTGGGCTAGATGGACCTTTGGTCTGACCCCGTCTGGCCGTTCTGATGTTCTTTTGCCAGCTTTCTGAAGGTGCCTTATCCCAGCTAATGTAATGCTCTACGAAAGGGTCTACCACGCTACATTTTGAACAGAATGACAACTTAATTACTTTTTCATTGTTAGCAGCAAGATTTTGTATTGCACGTTATTGGAAAAACGATGAGCTCCTCCTCCGACGGAACTGTGTGATGGTAAACTAGGGGCCGTTTTTGTAATGGCAAAGTTCATACCAAGTGGGCGCGTAAGAGAAGCCTCAGAAAGCGGATAGGTTTTTGGAAATGTGGCCACCCTTTGCGAGAAGACCGTGCTCCAGTCATGCGGCCAGCTTCTTTTTGAATATTAGTCTGATCCATCACAAGCACCAGCCAATGTTGTATGTTCACAGGCTTAAATCGCTGCAAGGGAGGTTTAGTTGGACATTAGGAAAAACGTTCTCACTGTCAGGATGGTGAAACACTGGAATCAGTTGCCTAAGAGGGTTGTGGAATCTCCATCTCTGGAGATATTTAAGAGCATCTTAGACAGACACCTATCAAGGATGATGTAGATGGGGTTTGGTCCTGCTGTGAGGGTAGGGGACTCGCCTTGATGACCTTGCGAGGTCCCTTCCATTTCTAGGTTTCTATGATGATGATGATTCCGTGTAACTTGAATAAAAAGTGAAAAATAAAATAGCGTAGACTGGGGCAAGACCATGTCTGCCAGTGAGCCCTTGTAGACTCATTTCACTGATTGCATAGGTTTGAACTCAGTGCTGGAGCAGATCGGAGCTAATGCATTCACTGGTGCTGCTTTGCACTTACGCCAATAGCCCGTGCAGGTATGGCGTAAACTAAATTGGATGTAAATTGTTAAACACGGGTAAGTTCCAAGTAATGCTCCTTGGAAAAATAGTCCCAACCATGCCTACCTCATGCTGTTACCCCTCAAGAAAGAGATCTTGGGGGGACGGTTGACAGTTCTCTGAAAACTTCAGCTCAATGCACTGCAGCAGTCGGCAAGTCCAATAAGAATGTTAGCGCTATTAGGAAAGGGGTAAGACAGTAAGACAGAAAAATCATAATGCCGTTATGCAAATCCAGGGTATATCTACACCTGGAATGATGTGTCCGTTTCTGGTTGCCCAATCTCCTAGGATCCTAGGGCTAGAAGAGACCTCAGGAGGTCATCAAGTCCAACCCCCTCCCCAAAGCAGGACCTAGCTCCAAAAGGATATAGTGAAACTGGAGACAGTTCAGAGAAGGGCAACAAAGATAATCAAAGCTCTGGAAGAGCTTCCTTTCGAGGAGAGAGACTAAAACGACTGGGACTATTAAGCTTAGAAAAATGACAGCTGAGCGGGGATATGACGTCTATAAAATCACAAACCACGAGGAAGAGGGAATAGAGAAGGGTTCTTCACCCTTGCCCATGATACAAAAAGCAAAGATTACCCAGTTAATTTAATAGACAGCAGATGGCACAGAAACAAGAGGCAATACTTTTTCACACTCAGCACAATTAACTTGTGGAACTCCTTGCTGTGGGATGGTGGTGCGGCCAAAAGTTGGACGTTTTCTTTTCTGAAACCAGTTTTACAATGGCTATTCGCCAAGATGGCCAGTGATGCAGCCCCATATTTAGGGGACCCCTA